GTTAACACAAGTCACCTCTTGTGACCTACATTCATCTTTTGTGTCAATCTAGAGCTGGGTCTTATGACCTTTCGATAATTATTGATAATGATCCCCCACCCCACAAAAATCCACTTCCAAATTGAGTTGATTTTCCCCATTGCATACAGAAAATGTAAACGACAGACATTATTCAAATGAAGTCGGTCGCCCCCCTACTATGATTGGCAACAATATGTAAGCTCTACTACAAAGAGTGTCACAAAAGAGAATCGATGAAATTATTTAAAATTAAAAGTACAACTGATGACTTTAGGTACATACATGCACACGGCATAATGAATGCACTCACACACACACACTAATAAATACTACTACTGTACATACATGCACACGGACACACACACACACACACACACACACACTAATAAATACTACTACGAAATAGTGTGCAAATAGTTTGTTCAGTTTGTCAAATGTAAAATTGTTTTGCCATCAAAAGCACATTTTCATTGTTGTAGTTGGTATTTTATAGAAGATACTGTTCAGATGTTTGAGGTGTCACTAAAGCAAAAATTATTATATCAAAGTCACTGCTGTGCATAAAATATATCTTTTCACAAAAAGCTTGTTTTCTGCGTTTTTGGTCCAGAATTGCTGATGTGGGTAAAACCAAGCGATGTGTTACTGTTGATTGCACAAATATAGAATAAGGTAGAAATAAACTTTGTTCATGTGATGAAAGAAGACAGTCGAATCTTCAAGGTGGTGGTTTCTGTTTCCTTAGTCATTAAAACACAACACTCTGTGAGCTTTGAAAGATCCGTTTAGAAAGCTCTAAAGAGGGTGGTATTCATATTGTGTATTTTTTTTTAATGGCTGGCATTGAAAGGGTTCAAATGAAATACAGTAAATTTAAATGAGGTGAAACACGGTGGAGTAGTGGAAAGCACATTTACTTTTGCCAATGTATAAATGCTCTCCAACTGATTGACGAGCAGTCCAGAGCGTTCACCGCCTGTTGCCCAAAGTCAGCTAGGATAAGCAACAGCTCACCTGTGACTCTAATGAGGTCAAGCGTTACAGAAAATTGATTTCCATGACAAATCCGGCATAACTCCTGTCAGAAAAAATGAAGAGATGAACAAAGAAGAGAAGCGAAAGGACGTCTGGTCAACGTTTCCCCAAGAGAGATGGAGCAACATCTCCAATTGTAATGAGGGCAAGTGTGGTGGTTCCTGGAGGGGGTGTCATAGAAAGGGAGCAGATTTAGGACTATTTGCGGCGTCACGCTTCACACCAAATTTGCATAAATGAGCAACGGACGCGTGTCCTTGCAGCTGCCGTCTATGCAGACGTGTCTTCTCTGCATGTCCCGGCAGATAAAACACATTTATTCGAGTCAAGCTGAGCTTTTAAACCATTTGGTTCTCTCCGACGACACCTAGTTATAGAAAAAAAATGACACACTACAGCCATATTTGTTTTGTTTGATTTTCTTACAAAACTGGAGCTGAACCAGTTGAAGATGTCGACAGACAAGTCCTGTTTAAAAGAGGTTGGACATGGCTGTCTAAGTCAAGGTGGAAAAATCCCATTTTGACTGCACTTATCCGGAAACATCTACTATTGTGTATTTTTGATGTTATGGGCACCAGCTGTCCGGATGAATACTGTGCATTCATAAAAATAAAATAAATAAATACATTAATAAAAATGACAAATAAATACATCAATAAACAATTCCACAATAACAAAAAACAATAATTAAATAGTCCCACAAAACAAGCACAAATAGCAAAAAACCACGAATAACTGACAACACCCAGAAATTCAATCAGTGCCTTCATTAATACAGCAGTTGAAACCGTAAGCATGCAAGAAACTGTTAACCCAAATCATTTTCATGTAATTACAATCTAATCATGAAAGATTAGCCTTACAAATTACCATAGTTTATTAACAACAAAGTGCACCTGATTAAAAGCAAAATGTAGCCATCAAAACAAATATGTACATATACTGGCCGCTTCACCTCATTAGCTGCTGATCTGCAGGTTGAAACTGGGGATAGCTCGAGACCATTTTTCCATATCAAATATCAATACTGCAGCCTCAAGGATCGGCCGATACCGATCCGATACTTTTTGTCACTTTAACCTTTGTACCGAAATAGAGTTGTTAATAATACATTAAACTATACCGCGGCAAAAAGGTAAAATATCAGTAAAAGCGCTGAAATAAAAGCTGGAAACTAAAAAACAATTTCTAATTTGTTTTTATATGTATTATCCCTTTCAGGGACAGTGGTTACGACAGTGGACAGCTTATCATGTTATCAGGTTAGAGGGTGCATGAAAGGGTTAATTCAAAAAACGACTATACGAATACTAATCGTAATATTCCTGATAAAATAAAAACACATTTTGAACATTTTTAAACAGTTCAGAACAAGTGAACACAACACATTTAACATGTTTTAACACACCACTCATATTTATTTATACAGCATATTCAGCACCTCGCAAAATGTTTTACGTTTGACCCAATCACTAATACAATTTACAAAATGGAGGATCTGAGCCCAGTGATTCGAATATGAATTGTAACACAAGCGACGAGATGCACTATTGTTTGTAATTATGTAATGCAGCAAAGCTGTTTCACCCCCATCATTCTGGCCTTTGGAATGTTTTCTGTTGCTGTTGCTGTCTTCTCTTCATGTTGCAGGAAGACGAGCAATCGATTCATGTTATTATTTGTATTTATGAAGAGTCCACATTTTATTGCTACTTTCGTCCCCAAAGACGCTGCCGTTGGTGGATTCATTCCCAGGTCCTCAAAACGCTGTGCGATACTGCCACCTAGTGGACCAAAATGTCGTTGTTTGAGAATTACTGTACGTTGAAGAGTTGCCTTCAACTGGCTGCCACCGCGACTAAGAACAGGTTCTTGCCACTCTATTTTTTTAGAGTTTAACGCTGGCTGGTTGCTTTAACATACTATCGATCAATTTCCAAAGAAAATTACTACGATATTCATCTATGTACTTTTGCCATTTGAACAGGAAGACCAAGTACTGTACAACTTTACCATTATGGCCAATTTTAATACAGTCACTGAGCGTTTCAAGTCTGCAGCCAATAGACGTCACCAAATTGTGACATTTCTCCCTGGAGTTGTTTTGCCAGCCCTTCAATGCAGCCACCTTGACTTGCTGCTTCCTTTCTGAATTACACACACCCACACACACACACACACACACACACACACACACACACACACACACACACACACACACACACACACACACAAATACCGATAACTTGACATGAGGCCACTTGAGTGATGTTTGAAATACTGGTCTTTTGTTGCTGTGCTCTTGAAAAAGCAACTACGAGCCGTCTTTGGTCTCGTGGAGGCTGAGTGCAACAGTTGGTTTTTTCTCCTCTTTCAAGATGGGGATCAGATGCAGCTTTATGACTTTGCTTTGATAGAAGGAATTCCAATTCAGAAAGAGCCTCTGGCTTGGGCCACTTTGTTCTCACATTCACAAGCGTATTCAATGAGGACGCGTGGGTCAAGCAGAGTTGCCAGAATGATCAATCCTTCTGTCCGATATTTTCTATAACTGTGTGCATCAGTGAAATCAAGGTCAGGACCGAGAGCCTTGCTCACAGATTCAAGAACCTCTTCAATCTTTTTTTTTTTTTTTTTTTTTAAAAGAGCGTGGTTTCGGTTTTCGAACAATTCGGATTTCGAACAGCCTCCTGGAACGGATTATGGACGAAAACCGAGGTTTGACTGCAATAATAATAATAATAAATGAAGTCAGCAACTGTGACTGGCAGAAACCTGGCATCAAAGTAAGAGCGAATACCAACTGGAGAATATTGCAGGGAAAATCCCTGCCCGATACTCAAAAATTTAACCTCATTGAATAAATAAAAAATGTCAAGTCAAACCTGTTGCTGCTGTCAAAATCAAATCAAATCGTTTTTTTTTTTTTTTTTAAAGAGCGGGGTTTCGGTTTTCGAACAATTCGGATTTCGAACAGCCTCCTGGAACGGATTATGGACGAAAACCGAGGTTTGACTGCAATAATAATAATAATAAATGAAGTCAGCAACTGTGACTGGCAGAAACCTGGCATCAAAGTAAGAGCGAATACCAACTGGAGAATATTGCAGGGAAAATCCCTGCCCGATACTCAAAAATTTAACCTCATTGAATAAATAAAAAATGTCAAGTCAAACCTGTTGCTGCTGTCAAAATCAAATCAAATCGTTTTTTTTTTTTGTTTTTTTTTTTACAAGGAGAGGAAAAAGTTTAGTCAGCATGAACGTTTCTTTTATGTTTATGTTCGATCGAGAGGACGCATTTGGTAAACATCATTCAGCATTTTGGTTTTAAGATTAAAGTGAAAAATCCAATCCCATCTTGAATGTTTGATTTGCGAAAAGGAAAAAAACCCGAAATAGCAGGAGCGTCGCCGAACACACTGGCGCACTGTCCGCCATCTTGGATCTCATATACACTGTGTTGGTTTCTCTAAAACTCTGGACTATCTGCCTGATTTTAGGTCACATTCTAGTTTGCTCTCATAGAAATGAACCCGTCCTTGGCTGACCCGAGTGAGGCTCCTCCCCTCTTTGCTCTGGCTTGGCTGCTGTTGGTTAACTAGCCGTTCTCTCTCACACCCACTCCCTTCAGGCATTTCGCCTCTGGGCTCTTGGCCAGACTTATGAGAAAATAAAATAAAATCTTCAAGTAGTGTGGGACAGTCAACTGTTGAATGTAGTTTTTTTCCCCCCATAAACCATGACTTAATGTAATGCTTAAATGCCATCATAATGTCCCTCATTTAAAAAATAAAAAATAAAAAAAGGAACAAAAAATAAACAAACTGGCAGTGAACTAACTCCTCGTGTCCTTATATAACTTCCCTTGTGCACAAAGTGAGCAGTGCAAGGAAAAAAGGGAAAAAGACAGTTTCATGCATTTTTGGAACCTGTTGCATGCAGTAAATAACATTCCACATTTGTCACAGGCATAACTCTTATATGGATATATTTATAGCTATATTTTTTTAACTCCCTTTGTAACTTTGCCACGCTGGGCTTGGGAGCCGCCCACTCACTGCTTCCCCGTCATGTGTCCCTGATATCTAAACAGACTCGACACCGGAGCACAAGAAGAAGCTTTTTTTTAATTATTTTTCACGCACAATTTTCACCAGCACCATGGTGAGTATCCACTATTACAATCGGAATAATCAGCAACAAGAACAGAGGGGAAATAAAACAGCCTCTCTTCCTCAACTACGCCATTCCGAAGCTCTTTGAGAGAAGAGTCGTGGACGTGCAGTCGGGATGGTGAACAATGCAGGGAATTAATCTCTAGCAGTGCTTTCACAAGAGAACACACTGGCCATTGCATGTGTCAGGTTTGTGTGGAATATTCATTTATTTGTAACAATGTGTCTTGCGTTAAATGGAACAAAAAGACTCCCTGCTTTGCGGGCGTGCCGTCGCCTTTCAGCACAAAACCTTTTAGAAGGTCAGCTTGTACTCTAAATTTGACAACCTGCCAATTTCCGCCATTTTCACTTTCAGTGAACCATTGCCAGCAACAGGTGAAAATAACAACTCTTGTTTGGAATCATTTCAGACTTGGTTGCAGCACTGAATTAGGAGACAAGAGCAAGCTTAGTGCAGCAAGTATGTTTAAAAAAAAAAAGACATGAGTAAGAACAGTTTGCAAAAGAGGAGCAAATGTGACCTATTCACTTTGAACAAATTCATGTCCACAATTCCCAATCATTTGAGAGATGACACGTTTAATGTGCTTTGACAAAATTCAATAAGCGGAGGGCTCATCTCCGCTGGCCCTCGGGTGTACTTCCAGAGGGACGGGCCATGCCGCCTTTTTGCCTGGGATGGTGCGTCATCTCTGGACACACTATTTTTGTTCGTTATCAGAATCAATACTTCAGTATTTGCTGAAAAACTTATTTGCCATTTTTTTTTTTGGTCAATGCCATGTCTATACTGTCATCGATTCGCATATTCACTGATCCCCCCCCATCCCCATTTTTATCAATCTTATATTTTTTTTGGGGGGGAGTGATGTGATTCTTTCCCCCCGTTTTGCCTATTTTTCATGAAAAACACACATGTTAGTTTATGAGCTTTTTGGGAAAGAATTGGGGGGGGGGGATTCCATTTTTTCCCCAATTCTATATATTTTTTCAATTATACACAGGCTGAATTCCTATCCCCTCATGAAGGGCAGAAGTCAACTGAAGAAAGTCAGCTCCATAAATATTTGGACATTGTCCCAATTTTCAGCATTGCAGCTCTGTACAATGGATTGGAAATGAAACAATCAAGATGTGCTTAAAGTGCAGACTTTGAGATCGAATTGGATGATGTTTACATCCAAATCAGATGAACAGTATAGGAATTACAACTAATTTTATCATGCCTCCACCTTTTAAGGGACCAAAAGTAATTGGATGGCTACTCAGCTGTTCCTTGTTGACGTCCACGGATTGAGATGAGAAGGATTTGCAACAAAGTATTGAAAAGTGATCTGATTTCTGATTACGTTAGTTTCAATGACATATGGTCCCTTAAAAGGTGGAGGCACATATAAAATGTTCACACCACTCACCCGATTTGGATATAAAAACATTCAAATTGAAGCTCGGAGCTGAAAGCAGATCTCGATTGTTTTATTTAAATTCTATTGTGATATTGTACACAGGCGGAATGCTGGAAAGTTATGTCAACATCCAAATATTTATGGAACTAACAGTCCAAATGTTGTTTTGGCACCATCTGGTGGCAGCTAGGTGCAAAGCACCTATGCTGAGGGGAAGGAGCTTCATTTCGTCTATTAGAAAAAAAAAGTGCCTGGCTGCTATTTTGTGGCACCTCATGAGTTTTCGCAGGAATTCACTGTAGAATACATCAATGAGTATCTTTCTGTGGACTCAAAATACACGACATTGCAATAAAAATTATAACATGCAAATGAAAAACCTCTGAAGAAAAATAAAGATAAATTGATAGGGACCTTTCTGACAACCATGTGGCACAAATAAAGAATGTCATAATAATACATGATACTAACAAATTATGAAGTTTTTAAAAACAATAACATTACGTGTTTACATAATTCCTACGTGGCACAAATAAAGAATGTCATAATAATACATGATCCTAACAAATTATGAAGTTTTAAACAATAACATTACGTGTTTACATAATTCCTAAAATAATATTCAATAAAATAATACAGCGACCTTGCAGCAGTAGCTGCTCAAGCCTTAACAACAATACATATATTTGAAAAAAATAAAAATGTTAACAAATGATAAGAAAATGTTAATTAAAATGCAATAAAAGAGACAATCACACAATATCACTCAACTCCAATTACTCAGTTTTTTTAAATTATGGATAAGAAATATTGTTTTATTTATGGAGATACACTTTACGCTCTCATGGTGGATTTATTGTTTTCAAATTCCTCCAGTATGTTAATGCCAGGTTTTGTGCACGGTGTTTACAGATGCTCGGCCTGACTGCAGGGCGTTTCGGAACAAGGTTCCTTGGCAGGCGCGTGATGGCACTCGTGACCCCGAGTAGCGCCACCATGGCGAGTCACGGTCATGGTCATGGTACAGTATCATATTTAATTATTCTTATAAGAGGTGGGGAGAAGTGTTTAGAATCGTCATTTACACCAAAGAAGAAACAGGTCAAATACCTCCTCCTCAGGGCCACTTTTATAACTTGTTTGAATCAAGGTGAAAAACCTTTACCTATTTCAAAACCATTACCGATCAATTTGTTATGTATGTATGACAATATAAGCTGATCATACATTTATATGGGTTCACCGTCATAACGGCCTTCTGTGGGACACCATAACAACGATGTGGCCCGCAACAAAAATAATTTTCATCAATTTATATGCCAAACGATTTATGCCAAATCGCTCAAATTTTACAATTAGACTGCTATATCGTAATCTCTTGTATCAAAAGCTTTCCTTTTATGTCTATGAAAACCCCAACGGTGAATTATTTCTTAATCATTCAGAACTATTTTAAACAACTTAACTACTATTATTTCGGAAATTATAAACACTTTTAGAAGGTCTTGGCTCCTAACTGAGCCCCAGCTAGCTCTTTGAGCTGGCTTGTAAAAAAAAGTTCTGGAGCTTGTTCCAAAATGTTCTACAGTATTTGACCTACTTTCGCGAGGCATCATCAATTAAAATTTGCAGTCATAATTGATTGGATTTAAATGTTATAGTCTTCATTGTGATTATCATTACCATAATCAAGACCGACTGCATTTTTTGACGTACTTGTGGATGACTTTTGTTCCAGCTGATGTAAGCGAGATAGCGGACATGTCCAAGCCCATGTACTGTGATCGTATGGACACCCCGTTACCGGACAGGGCCTACAAGGATGAGTTGAACGCTGCCGACAAGACTCTCAAGGAAAAGGAGAAAGGGCCCTGGAACCAATTGACCAAAGAGGAGAAGATAGCCTGTACGCTCCAAACACGAACACGATGTTTGAATAAAAACTCCAGAAAGTCACTAAAATGTCCTTGACCTTGTCCAAACGTATGGCAGTGTACCGCCTGATGTTCCGTAAGACTTACCCAGAGATGAAGCAGAAAACAGACGAGTGGAAGACGGTCATGGGGGGCATCTTCATCTTTTTGGGCCTCACCGGGCTGCTGGTGTGGTGGCAGTCCATCTATGGTGAGTTCAGGGGCCCTCGTTTACACGTCATTGCCTCTTTTTTTCCCCTCCGTTCAGGTGGCTTGTCTGGCTTATACTCACTTTTACGCTTTTGGAAGTCGTAACATTTTGTGTACACTATAATGCCAAAAGTCTTTAAACGTTATGGAGCTTTTTATGACAGTTCCGCTGAAGTTTTGTTTGGTCAAGTGTCGACATAATCCACAAATTGGCAATACGTTTTCAGTACAACGTGTCGTCGTGTCTTCTTTATAGATTGTAGAGTATGGAACATCATGCCACTCGTCCTCTACTTTACAGGAATCTAATTGTCCGTATTGCTAACACAGGACGGCCAATTTAGCTACAAGTTGTTAAAAGCGCGAGAAAAAGTCCGCTCCACACGCGAAAGCATTTTTCCTGTTTACATAATGGTAGCCAATAAGAAAAGTCAGGGGCGTCACGTGGTTTGAGCCGACGCATTTAAATTCAACGGATTTTCAGAATTTTATAGCGATTGGCAATTAAGCTCTTAAAACCTCACAGGAAAAAAAATCCCCTATTTCTTATTTGGGACACCTTCGAAGTGATCGACTCACTCGGTTTTGTGATACGTAAAGGATTGATTTCCGATTTGTATGTGTCTCCAGTGTACCCCGCGCAACCCCGGACCTTTGACAGTGAGTGGCAGGCGAAACAAATCCAGAGGATGTTGGACATGAGGGTGAACCCGGTCGAAGGTTTGGCCTCCAAGTGGGACTATGAGAAGGGCCAATGGAAATAGAAAATAAAGCAGCACATTCTCAATGCGTCTGCACGTGATAACCGTACAATAATATAGTTTGATCTCCGTCCAACATGTCTGACTTCATGTATTTAATATACGAATGGATGGTAGTCCATTAAACCAGGAGGTTGCATTTGGCTTTATTTGCAAAGCATATCTGGGATATTATTGAAACAATGTTACTATTATTTTGACTTACTCTGCTGTATGAATGGCAACAGGTGAATGGACATTTATTGTACCAACTGCCATGTAAAGAAGAAAGTTAGCACATGTCGCTGGCATAGTATGTTAGAAGATGTTTGCACTCGTTTGTGCGCAAATTGCGTGGAATTGCCACGGCACACTTCATGTGTCATGGCATACAAATGGCAGTCTCACTGCTGGCACTACAGTAAACATGTACATAATTGAAAACATATGGACCACAAATGAAATACGGCAAGTAGCTGTAAGCTGTGCGGCTTAATGACATCCTTACGGTGTTCATCATTCATGTGAACTCTGCACTTGTACACTCAAAACAGCAATCATCATCGCATTAAATGTGTTTTCTTCAAGGCCATGTACCAAACATGAGCTACATTACCTTTTGCGCAATTGTGCACCACCATCAGCCTCACTATTCCTCCTTCGTAAACACTCATCTGAGCTTGGCGCATCGACCAGGGTCTTTCCCTCCCCTCTGTGACCACATTTGAGTGGCAGGCGATCGCGGCAGTTGTGCCGGCTTCGAGTGGCGTGATTCAGCAACCTGACATCTTCGGGACGATGCAAGGAAGGGACGGGGGCGCGGTGAAGGGAGGGATCATCAAGGTGACTTGCTTCCACAGCCTCAAAATCCACCCATCCAACTAATTAGGCTCTTTGAGAATTGATGATTGCTGTATTTTGGAGATGCTGGTAAACCCTTTTGTTTGGATGTTCAAATCATGAGCCCAACACAAATGAATGTCATAAACTTTTATTAACTGCTCATTCAAAATGTTTAACGGGGGTGTTAAATGATCAGTGCTACCAAACATTACAACTGTACATCCAAATACCTAACATGTTCATGCTGACAGATGTCCTATCTGCGGTGTGAGCTGCTACGTTTGCTGCATTTGTCAGCTACTGTCTAGTCGACGAGGACAAAATGCCCCCTTCCCAACACACACACAGACACGCACACATACTGTGCTCTGGCTGAACGTAAACGGTTAAAAAAAAATTAAAACCTCACTCAAAATTGAGCAATATATCAGCCGGGAGTGCTGGGCTTCGATTAGCTTAAAAATCCAAATGTAACTAAAAGCACAAAATGAGGATGGGGACAGCTAAAATGTCTCAAACAAAAAGCACCACACATTAACTACCATGCGAAACAGTATTTAGGGGGAGGGGGGGTGACTTGGCAGGAAGGTGCCACTCCACACTGTTCCGGTAACCACATCCCCCTATCACTTTCCATATGGCACAGCCAAGCGATGCCTGCCAGAGCCAGGAGCGGTGTCGACAGTGGATGAGCGCAGTAGCCAAGGCTGAAAGCATGCTGTCAATTTGGATCAAGTTTTGGGAACCTGTTACTAGTTGTATGGGGACAAACTAAATGTATAAAGAAAGATGATGCGAACAAATGTTCAGAATTTTATCTTCTGATCATTTGTGGTTTGGATGTTTATTTTAACAGCTCTTCTGAGATTACACACACTCTACTCACAAAAATAGCTATCGAGATTTTGCTGCTATTCCAGGATGAACCTAGAATGTACTACAGCCTTTACAGGTCAACTTTCATCGAATCTTCTCTTAAAGGTAATAGTGCAATTTCGATTCATCCTGAAATTGCACCCTAAAAGCCCAGTAGCCCTAACTTTTTGTGGACACTGCATTGTACGTTTGTCAGGCTGGTTCACGCAGTCTCGCTGTCCATTTAAGTTTTAGCCTCCTGGGAGAATCAAAATGGGGAACTTCGGTAGAACTAATGTGTGTGTGCACACTTACAGAGGAAAAAACAAACAGGAGGCATAAAAAGGAATAAATTCCTGAAACGATAACATGCCGACGTGTTTATGCTGAGGTTTAGTGCCAGGGTGGAGGGGGGAACGTGGACACAAAGACCCTCCCTTCCACTTGTTTCTCACAACAGTCCAAAAACAAGGTTAATTCTCCGTCCAACATGTGATGGCAGGAGTCAACATCAGGAATCGGAAATTTCAATTCAACTTCCGTCATGTATTTTTGTGGATGCGTTAAGTGTGTGAGGGTGTGTAAAATGAGAGGTCATCACAGGCGCTTCTGGGCGATGAGCGAGCCCACCACGACCCCGGTCACCAAGGTCACCCCGGCCAAAAGCCACTTCTTGAAACTCTCCTGGGAGCGGCGGACCTCCGCTGCCGCGTCGTGGCCAAAAATTTCGGCAAAGCGTTGCTGGGAAAAAAAAAACAGAGCGTCAATTAATGCTACTGCAGAGTGGCGCGAACAGTAAAGAAGAAACTCTAGAGCCATGAGCTCAATTTAGCCCACCGGTGTTTAATGATACACATAGTTGTCTTAAAAGTTATAGACTCTCACGAAGGCCTATTCCGGCGAACAAACAAACTGGCAATTATCAAAAGCCCTGTAATATTTGTTGCATTAGTTTCCTGGTTGCCATTTTTTTCAGGTTTTCTTAGCTGATATGGGCTAATTGAATCTTTTACTTTTAAGATGAATTTCATTTATTGTAAATTTTAAAATGGGTAGTAAATTAAGCACATGTACATTTTATATTCTGAGTTTTAATTCATCTATTTGTTTACAAATGACAACTGAATGCAGGATTCATCATGAAATGTTGTGTGTGTATATATATATATATATATATGCTGAAAATGTTTACATTTGTAGGGTTTGACTAAGGCTTATTACATTTTTACTTCAATACTTAATGGCAACCAGCAGAGGGCACAATTAAATCATGTCTCGGGGCCTGAAATGACTTGGGATTCTGCGCAATCATAAAACCTCAACAAATACTGCAGTCAAATGCGACCTCCCTCAAAAATGGCAACACTAAGTCAAAGCACAATGAAGTCTTGACAAAGTCATGCCTCAATAGACACCAGAAGACGCCCCATTCTGGTTTAGAGAGGCCATTTCGAGGTGGCCATCAAAGGCAGACATTTAGCTATCACAACTGAAGCCACGATAGTTGGGTGACAATGAATAGTGGACAATTAAGATTTCATCGTTGTGCTGGTCCTCAGGACGGCAGCAAAATATTCTAATCACAATGAACCCTCCATGTGGAGCCCCTCCCTAATTTTGTACGCCCCTGATGTTGCTGTATCTGAGTTTTAATACAAGTCAGTTGACCTTTCATCCAGTAAAAGTATAGTTTTAAGGATTGTGTGTTCTAAGCAAAGCACTACATCTGGTCCACCCTTGTTGTGGTTGACTGACCATTGTCCTCAAAATTATCTGGTCAGGCTCCAAAAACACTTACATACTGTCAATCAACAAAACAGTTTTTAGTCAAGTCGGTGTCATACATCCACCTACAGCGGCGTCAAGAGCATACCGTAACCATGGCAACACTCACTGGTTTAAAACAAAAAGTCCCAAAGGCTACATTGTCCATGACTGTGCATGGTAACGCCTTTTAGGATTTGCTTCCACTTCCCTTGCTCTCCTTCCAATAATAATGTCGCAGGTTCATGGGAGATGTTGACATTCTTTCCCAGCTCAAGCCCCGCATAGCCGCCGCCCACTGAAATCATTTCCTGGAAACTGCTTGTAGTTGTCGATTTTCACCAGCAGGGGACGTCTGACGGCCTCACAAGGGACAGCAGACTGACTCAGAATGCTGATGATGCCCCCGCTGTCCTTGCAGGCCCATAAATGCCCCCACCCCTTAAAAAAAAATTGCCAGTCATCCTGGATTAGTCAGACAAAAAATGAGCGATGACTAGTTCTGGGTCGAAGGGGGAGGCAAACAACAAAGGGAACATTTTGGTCTTGTACTGGAAACGGCAGACCCGATGAGACAGCAAGAGTGAAACCACTGCAGAGATGCTAATGGGTATTTCTGAAAACAGAGGATATGACTATAGCGGAAGTCAAACGAGACTGTCAGACTGAGAGACCATCACTATCCATCAGGATTATCACTACCTGATGATGATGATGATGATTGTAATGTTAAACTCATTTCGCACCAAATTCTGTATGGATTTTTTTTTGTGTGACAAATCTCACTTGCGGCATCTTTAGTTTTCCCTGTAATTACACTGAAATACCATCTCACCAATGTCCAAGTATCTATTGGTACCCAATCCAAGACCCGACAGATCGGGACACCTGTCACCCCAGTATAATAGTGATCAATTAAGAAATTTCACACAATATTCATCATTTTAGGCTGTTGGCTGTTGGTAAACATCATGCATTCTCAAACAGAACACGTTTCGTTTTAAGGCACACGAGGGCTTCAAAACCTCCAGAAAGTTCAAAGCTATCTGATATTGGGTTGGACATTTGAGTTTTAATACGTTTCAAAATGTAAATAACCAATCATGGCTCAGCTGTTTTCGGAGTTTGGTCACGTGACGCTCACAGGCTGAGAAATCAATTGACTTGACCTCAGCAGCCGTGATGTCATTTTCAGTTGACAGAATGGCTGCCCCCCTGGGATGGATAAAAATGGGCGTGTTTTGCCGCCTAATTCATATTCCACAAATACAGTATCAATCACAATGATGCGTTCAGACTCGAGGAGCTGCATAGATTACCGTAAAGAACATTTTTTGACTTGACTTCCTTTTTTGACTTGACTTCCCATTTAAAGTGTGTGTCTTTATGGTGGGTGGGTGAGTCAGTGTTGAAATGATATTTATATGGTCTACCAATATTGCACATTTTCATTGCAGGTAGGCCAGGTTTCAACAGGAGTTCTGACAGAATAAGTGAAAAGATGACATTTCTTCCTGGATGAACTTGCAACTTAAGAGCACGGCGCACAGTTAAGAAACTGCAGCGTGCGTAGGGAGGAAGAGGTTTCAGAGTATCGCGCAATGTCGTCGTACTGACAGGAACTTCTGAATCTTGCAGAGTTTTCTAAGAATTTCACCGGCTGTCGACATGCTGGCGGAAGATAAGCCGACGCGATGACCTCAATCCTGTGTGTGTGTGTGCGTGTCTGTGTACATGTAAATTAAATGACTGTGGACAGCATTCCTCATGCGACTTTCAATCTATCAAATTCCATCTAAGATTTGGGTCTTGATATGTGTTTACTGGACAGGAAAAGCGCACCACTGAAGCCAAATAACCCCCCCTCAATCTCCCAAATAAAAACAAAGTTCTCTTCTGGCACCAACCGGGCTTGGACCCACTGCAGAAAAAAGATAAACAAACCCACCTTTCACTTTTGGGCCTGAATTATGCATCTTAACGTGACTCAGACCAAAAGTACTTATGACGCAAAATCGGTTTGGATTTCGGCACATGCTTACAGAATGACAAAAGAAGACTTTTTCTCCCAATTAGGTACAGTACAGTGTGTGACAATAATCAAAAAGCTCCGACATGGTCCACTCTGACTCAATGTCCCCCCTCCCCGCCTCTCCCTGGACGTGGAAAAAGCTCTGCTTGGAGACTATCATAATGATAACTGCATTTAAAAAAAAAAAGGGCTTTGCATTTTTTAGTAAAATGAGCTCTTGCGCCAATGTTTGATGCGGTAGATGTATCCCAAGTGTTTTATCCATTGAGCTTTTTGTTAATGTTTAGTAGGTTTCACTGCATACAAAGTTCAGTCAAGGCACCAAACATTGACCCTATCAAGCCCGTTACTATTGGCTTGGGCCGCATGTCCACACAAGAGATGTTTTTTCCCCTAGTAAAATCTTACTTTATGGATACATGCTTTTCATTTAACACTGACAATAGACCATAGACTAAAATTGTTAGGCTAGATTAATTGTACTTCTATTTGTTGTGCGGAACATTGTTTTCCCCATTTCAAAGAATGTGAAAGTCAAGCAATATGTGGTAGTTGTAGTCGAATTTCTGAATGAGAATTTTCGTCAGTATTCCAGATTACAGAATGGAGCGGGCCGTTTTGGGCCCACGGGACATATTTTGCCCACCAGTGGTGTTGATGATGGGTCATACTTTGCAATCCTCAAAATCAGTTTTAAAACATTTTGCTGAGCCACTAGGTGACAGTATTGCACACTCTTGTGTTGTCTGGTACCTTCAAAAGGGTTTATATACTGTTATGATATTCGATTATTTTGTGTGACAGATCAAGTAAATATTCTCCAAACCTGTAATTATTTTATGATGGTGCCAAGTATTATAAACTTTGGATAAAGTTATTCTGAAATTAAATCATTTCGACATGGGAGATTCCACTTTATCGAAAAAGCCTTGTACCGTACATGTGAGGACAAGGCAGAGGAAGTGGTGACCTTGCATTCCGACCTTCCAAGCACAGACCTTGAAGGAACTAAAGACCGTTAATTTGTCTTCGTAACGTGGGAGAAGCTGCCAAGAAAAAGGGACTGTTTGTCTTCTTTCACTCTCACCTTGACTTCCTCCACGGGCCTCGATTGCGATGCACGCTGAGATTACGCGTAAACTCCCCAAATAAACCTAATCCCCAATTGAACCCATCGCTACACGGGAATGACTTCTGACACAGATGGGCAGGATGACTAAGCGAGTGTGACAGGACACACACACCGTAGGTAGCTCGATTGCACCGAAGCAGAGACGGAAGTAACCACGAGGGATTGACGAACGCTCGAATGATGAGTCACACTTTGGGTACATGCCGTTTCAATAGTTGACTTCATTGTTTCTAATTAAAAAATGGGCGGCCCAAACAAAGGCAGTCCAGTTCCTGTGCAATCAGTGAGGAGCTATGTGAGTAATGTGGGTGTAGCGGACAAGCACCTTGAGAGCAGAGTGATTGACACCTCTACAAGGTACAAGTCAGGGCATGTCAAAGTGTATTGATCACGTGGAGGTGACCGGAGATTCAAAGGGTGAGCTGCTTTCACACCGTGTTCGACTCATGATCTTAAATCAACACGCAAATCTCTTGACTATTATAACTACGGATATTAATAAAGTCACAGGCTTTCAAAAAAGGGACATCACCATTTCTTGTTGCCGTAGCGACAGTTGACGATCTACTTCAGCGGCCCAACATATTGGTGGACCGGCTTGGACACCATTCGTGGTGTTGTGACGGTACCATCTGTAGCAGAGGTTTTTTTTGTTTTTTTTTTGAGGCCTTGGACTAATTTTAAAAACGATCAACGTTTATTGTCATGACATGATGTACGTTCAGCTGCGCAACCTCTTCAACTTCATTGGCTTAAAAATACCCCCCCCCCCAAAAAAAAAAATAATCCAATTTCACTCCTGTCTGGAGGCTT